TAGCTCCTTCATGCAGAAAAAAAAACGCTGCTCAATTTGTGTCTGGAGCTTGGGGATTGGGATTTAGGGCTTAATGATGGAGAATCAGGCGGAACAAACATGTAAAAACAAGGTCGATGCTAGGTTGACATAAAGTTTACAGTTTTAGACTTTGGGGATTGTAACTTTCAAGCTTAAACTAGTAGAACAGAGTTCTGGCGGGGGGGGCATTTACTCTATGGATATAAATTGTAAGGGGAGAACCTGGGTAAGTATTCAGGCTCCTACAGTAAACGGAGAGTATCCATGAGCCCTCAAAAAGTGAGCCTTCAGTCGTTTAGCTTTGGGGGGGCTGGGGTTCGGGGTGAACTGCTTATGGGGGCCAGCTGATTAGCGGGTTCGATCTGGAAAGCTTCGAGAGAGGAGTGTGGGCAATCATTCAAGCCTCCACCCTGTAGATCCGCAGATTCAGAGTCATGCCTCCGTTCCTGGATTCCTTTCTGTGTGCTTCCCAGATATTGCCCTAAACACTACATCCTAAACCCTGAATCCTAAACCCTAAACCCTAACAATGACCCTTATATCTCCTATTAAGGGTGGGAGAAACCAGTTCATGCTCCAAGAAGCCCGCACTGACGTCCCTTTAACGTCTTCCTGGACCCGATGCACGACCCTAGACCCTGAACCGTAAACCCTACTCCAGACCCCTGATGAATAAGCCCCCTTCCTTTAATAGGGATTGCAACGGGGATCCTAATATCAAGACCCTTCAGAGGAGGGGGTTTATTAGAAATGGGTCTCCATGAAGCCCTCAACCCCTAATGCCGATCCCTTTGGTATGACTGTTGATATGAGAAATCGTGGTTATATAAGGTTATACAGGACTTATGTGGGCTAAAATGGACAATGAACTGGAACTGGGTGGGATCTATGAGTTTTATAGAGTTGCATGACTTCAGCGTACTTTACCCGCATAATTCCCAAAGTGTAAGCTACTTAATCGGCGAATATTTTCAAAGCCAAAACCTGTAGCCTAAACCCTCATAGTCCCCTTAAGTAGATAGAATATGGGGTACATGTGGATCTCATTAATATTCTATCTATTTAATAAGGGGGACTATAACCCGTAGCCCTACC